CGAGGCGAAAAAAAAATAGATTTCGAGTTTTGGAAATAGTGCATCTTGTAACGCATTTTTTGACCGTCAATTTTTTAAGATTTTCAAATTTTTAAAGATCTGCTCAATCTACACTATTTTTTAAGCTTCAAATTTTATAATTAGAGCTGAAAATATATTTTAAGGCTATCACAAATATTTTCAGTGTAGAAACCACATTTCTCAATATTATTTGAAGGTGGGCTCCAGTTTGATTGTTTAGAGCCACGGCTCTATACAAACCGCACCCATAAAAAAAAGTCCCAACTACCCTCCTTTATTTTTACCCACACTTCTCTCTCCTCTTTCCCACGAAAAGGCAGTCCAGTGTATTCTTAGGGCGGTTCGACAATGTAATGTCGGTCTGGTAAATAATAGTGCCAGTTTGGTAGTACAAATGGCAGTCCAGTACTGACAAATAACGGTCCAACAATAGGCCCATGCGATCCGGCACTGCCAAACAGTGGTCCGACTTGTGCGGTCCGGCAACATGCCCAAAGTGTGGTCCAACAATAGGCCCATGCGATTCGGCACTACCAAAGAGTGGTCCGACAACATGCCCTTGCGGTCCAGCAACATGCCCAAAGTGCGGTCCAATAATATCAAAGAGCGGCTCAATACCTTTTTAGTTTAATGGGGTGTGGCAATGTCAAAGAGTGGTCCGACAGCCCATGTAAGGTCACGTGAATGTTTGGCCGAAATTAAATTTTTATGTACAAAAATGGTATTTTCATCAAAAAAACGTACCTTTGTGTACTTGTCGAGTATTTGCTAGAAAAGTATATTTTGGGGAAATAAGTGAGAAAAAAAAGTTTGGTTGGGAATAACTTGCATAGAAAGTCTAGTCTTAGGGGTTATTTGTAATTTTCCCAAGTTTTATGTGTATAAATGTGAATACTATAAGGCCATTTACTGTAGTGCAAGAAGATCACGATCATTTTTAGCCCTTAGATGTGAAATCCAATATATAACAATGTATTGTAGTTTCTATGCAGCTAGCCCACATATTATAGAAATACGGGTTTGGCAATAAATATATTTTTAAAATATAATTTGATCCTAATTTTTAGAGAATATATAATCTTTAACATCGAGATCATGAATAATAATAATTATATTAAGCAAACATTTGGATCGTACATTATACTGGTTTTCAAATGGACAACCTATTTGCATCCATCTTAAATATGGAAGCTTTATACCTCTTGACTGCATATTGTAGAAATGCGATCCAACCCCCTTGAAACAATTTTTTTTTGACAATATTTATTTTAGACTTTGTGCCTAAATAATGATACATCCTCAATCACCCGATTTCAGATTTTATGGTCAATGATAATTGTGATCTCCTTGTATAGAAAACAAATGGTCTCATTGTATAAATTTTCTATTTAAAAATCTCTCAAATATTTTGAATTATGTATGGTTTTCCATTTTTTTCAAGCTTTTCTTTTTTTCCCTCAAAATGCCCATAAGTAACCATGGTTGAATCTATTTAATTGCAAAAAATAGTGTTTGGTACTGAGAGTAGAGTTTATCTCTGTAATGTAGCATTCAATTTGTTTTTTTTTTTTTATAAGAAACAAGTCTATATCTCATAATACCATACTTATTTGTGCAGCGAATTGTATTTAGGAAAAAGTTTATGTAAGGATGCTACCTTATAATGTAGAGCTACGGATGCCCCCCTCAAAAATCCATCGGAAAAGGTGGTTTTAATGTTAAAAAACCTTTTGATTGATCATCTTGACATCGAGATGTATGATTATGAAAAATAAAAAGATTTTAAATATCAGAAATAGTGCATTTTACAACATATTATCTACACTGTCCATTTTCAAGATTTTTCATATGTTTATATATCTACTTGCTTTTAACTATTTTTTAAATTTTAAATTTTATAATTAGATATAAAAATAGATTTTGAAATAATCTTAAGAACATTTTACATTAAAATTATATACCATGATAAAATTTGAAAGTGCACCTTACCTCTACACGTACAAATGCATCCGTATGCCAACTGCACCCTCTTATAAAAGCTAAAAAAATGTCCAGAGTACTCAACATTATTTATTGCAATGGGTATGATCCCATTTTGGTACTCAAAAAACTAAACTTATGGGCATTTTTTGAAAATTTTAAATTTGAAATAGGGGACATCTATGTAAATTTCAAAATTTTATGAACATCTTTAAAATAAGGGATATTTATGTTAATTTCCTTCATTTTATTCATAAATTATCGTTCATGAATTTTTACCGGGGATTAATGTTACTTGGTAATTTTTCCTTTAAAAATTGAGAAATTCACTCTATTTATTCTTTGAATATATGTTATCGTAAAATTTATCTCGAATTTTGTATTTTACATTCATACTTTTTTTTATCTATTTTATTTTTTTCCTCAAGATGTCCCATTTGGAACATTTAAGATCCAACACTTGGATCTTGAAAGTCTAACATCTACTTACTTTGGATCTTGAAGGTCCAAAGGGCTAGAGGTGACGGGTTTTCAAAGTTTGAAGTCACACTAAAATAATTCTTTTGACTTCAGCCGAAAGTCATTTTAGTTCTAAATGGGGAGTCTTTTGGACAAGCAAAAAAAGTAAAAAGCGGGGTACGAAATACAATAATAATAAGGGACAGTAAATTTCTCTAAAAAAAAATATCAAGGCTTTATGCAAAGAAGCTCAAGAAAGTTACAAGAAAATGACCATTTTATGCCTCTGCAAAGAAAGTGGAAAGATTATTCATCATCGAATATTATTTATTAGCTGCCACCTAAGTCAAAGAATAATAACATACAGATGCATTAAATGAAATTCAAACAGCATCGACCTATGTTTTCCATATCACGATATTAGCTAATTTTAGGAAAGGGCCGGGTTATTGTGGTAGCACCTCCATATCTAGTTGCGATGTTGTAGTTTTAATCGTGCAACATCACCTATTGGCACCTTAAA